ATTATTTCTTTAATATTTTTAGACTTTACAATCGTCTGCTTTTATAAATTCTTTAATATTTTTAAACTTTACAATACTTACATAAACATTTACTTTTTGTCACTTGCTCTGACTAAAAAATGCAAATCTAAAATGCAACGTACTTTCTCGAAATTAGAATTCAGAGTTATTTTGATTGTGCTAACTGCGCAACAGTCTTTGCAGAAATGTGCAACTCATTGAATGCAACACGCATTACATAGTAATTTCTGATCCGATCACTTTATAAAGCAATAAATTGTTCACCCGGTCATATGACCAGTTGTGGTAGAAATACGACAAGTATTATTCAAAACAAAACAAAAATATTTAAAAAAATATTAATAGAATATTAACTGTACATAATTGTTAGAAAAAAGTCATGAAGTCAAATGTGCAAAAACGATAAGATGATAAGCGCATTTTCGATTCAAAAGTTTCTTAACGGTCATTTGATACTATATGCTTCCTTATGATATGTTTAGTGTTAATATCAGAATTAATTGAAATGGTTTTCAATAAATGGTGATATTAATGAAATTTAATTATCACAATCTTCCTTTTATTTTCGCATTTTCGGGCCACTAGCGTGTGTTGTTAGAAACACGATTAAAAACATTATTTGCAATATTCCTTAATGGAAAAAAAAACTTAATTTTTAGTTATTTATTTATTTTAAAAAAAGTAAATTCTTAAAAGAAATGGCCGTTTTGAAGCTGTGTCTGCTCAATGTTTCATCCAATATATCATAACTAGCAATTAACCCAAAAGTGCATTTTTTCAGTAAGATCGAAACTTGTGTATAGTTTGCGATCATATAGATCTAGTTTTGTCTTAGTTTATTCGTTAAAGAAACTTAACAGTTAAACTTTAGAGTTGCAGGACGCTGAATTCTTTTCATTTTTTAATTTGCCTGACCATTTTGTATTGCATTATTCTCTTTTACTACAAACTCTCTGCAGAATCTGCTTTTTAAATAAATAAAAAAAAAGAGTTACTTTTCCTAATATGCGCTCGTAATTCATATTATGCTTCTTTTATAGACTCCTAAAACCATTCGATCGAGTATGACGAAATTTGGCATACTGATAGCTCGAAGCACAATGAAGGTCACTGTCGACATTAGAACATTCTAGTACTAACCGTTCGAGAAGGATGAAAGAAAAACGAAATGGAATTTTCTGGTTAATTAAGCATTAGCCATTATCCTAAAGTAAACTATAAACGATTCTATTTAATCGAATATTTTAAAGATATTACAGTGATATTTGTTAGCTCATAGCTCTTCTTGATTTTAAAAAAAGAGTTTATTGCCCGCACTTTAATATTTAATTATTTATTATTCAGTGTGTTAGATAAATTCAATGAACAACGCTGAGCCGCGATGGTTCAGGGGATAAAGCGTTCGCCTTCCAATGAGCTGAATCAGGTACGAACCCCTGCAATGGCTGGTCGATACAAATCCGCATCCGGCCTGCACCGACCACAGAGCTGACGTAAAATATCCTCATTGATAGACGGATTATGGGTTAGAGTCCCCTTGCCGTCAGACTAACCATGGGAGGTTTTCGTGGTCTTCCTCTCCATGTAAAGCAAATGCGGGTTAGTTCCATCAAAAGGTCCTCCACGAAAGCAAATTTCACCCAATACTTGATCCGGGAGTTCCCTTGTCTTCTGGATTGGGTTCAAAATTAAAAGGCTATGGGGAGTTAAACATTAGCAGTCGTAGACCCACAAATTGGGTCGGCTGTTCAACGACGGTTATAAAATAAAATGAACAACGTTAATGTGACAGCTTGGATTACGTCACGAAATTAGCAACCCTAAATTTATCTAATTGATGTTTCTATAAATATAAATAATTTTAAAGCAACAGTAATTGAAATGGAAAAAATTTAGGTTTTCATTGAAAGGCAAAATTAATGGAAAAGTACTGATTCGTTGTAGGAGAAACGTAAAAAAAACTCCATACTATTATTGATGATGCTGAAATAATTTAGGTAATAGATGCATATTGAAATTTAAAAAAAACTATGCACTAAAAAGCAGATAGAGTAAAGATACTTATTCATTTAGAGGAACTATTAATGATTCCCCTTAATTAATCTTGGTAATATGTATTAAAATAATAAAATAACTAATGTGTTAAAAAGCAAAGTGAATGAAGAAAAGTACTTATTCGCTTCATCATGAAAAATCATCATGAAAAATCATCAAACATGAAAATCATGGGGAATCATGAAAAATCATCAAACGCCGATGACGCTAAATTAATTAAGGTTATACATAAGATTGTTATTATAGTAATTGGTGCAGTTTTAGTAAGAATTCTGCAACGTATTTTCCGTTGTTTCAGAGAATACTTTTTTCAAGTGGTAGAAAAAATAACTTATTATATTTTGACGATTTAGAATTTAAAAAAAACTTTTTTTCCACCTGTGATCATGCTCTAAAATCCTTATTACTGCCTTATCAGAAATCTATTTGATTTTAAAATTTCGATTTCAGTTTGTTTCAACCGACAAAAGTATTATATTGATGTATTTGGTAATTATTAAAGCTGCAATAACACTGAGTCATTTTAATACCGATACTGGGGAGATAAGTATAGTGAAAGGCATCGAAAGGGATAAGTACCAAAGAAAGTACATGATAGTGGTAAATTTGACCATCATGAGTTGACCACGATGATAGCGTCATGCTAAGAGATACTGAGTACAGTTAATCGTTATTGTGATAAAGGGAACAACAAATAAAGTGTTTTACAAAAATAAAAAACAATTGAAATTAATTTAGCTTTCTTAATTGTGTCAGTATATGCCTTTCAATTTTGTGTGTGATGTCTTAGCATTGTTCAATACTGGTTTATGGATTTTTTTGCACCCGCACGAGGTACGGGTGAACAGCTAGTATTTTATACAGTCGAACCTCGTTAACGCGAAATTGGCGAGACTATCATAATTATTTCGAGTTAACCAAATCTCGTCGTGTCCGACACATCGTGAAAACAATTCATTACGTACTATTAATACGAGTGCTGCACTACATTAATGTATGCAAACAATACTATTATGAACCAAACAAATTAAAATAAGCTTAAGAGTTTAAACAACTTTATTAAACTGTTTTATTTTAATCATTTTATTTATTTGCCCATCTGTAACTTCGAACGAAACAAAATAGAAATAGCATTCCTCAAAAGGAATAATTGGTATTTAATTCGCGTGCTTATTATCTGTCCCGCATCCAGTTTCCTGTCATGTTAAACGATAATTAGCTTGAAAATTTCATGTTAAGCATGTAAAATACAACAATCATTGATTGCTGACTCACGGGACCAAACATGTGTTTCATGTAAAGCGATATTTCACGCTAAGTGGTTTCGCTTTAGTGTGTTGTGGTTTATTTACGTCGCACTAGAGCTGCAGAAAGGGCTACTGGCGACGGTTTGGGAAACATCCCTGAGGATGATTCGATGACATGTCCCGCAGTGGACTGATCGTTAAGACACGGTTCGCAGCAGATCACCGAAGTCAAGCATCACTGGCTGCGGTCAGTGTGAGGGTGGGTGATCACTTGGATCAGTCTGCGTAGGGACCGAGGGTGTGCGGTATTGGTCCTCGTTAAACTGTTCTACCGTAAAGTGCTCGACTTCGCGCGCTGGTCGTCGGGCTACCGAAACGGGTGTGCCATCCCCTCCGCAGAGGATCAAAATTGTGATGGCATGTCTCCGGATCATCCTCCGGGATGTTTCCCAGACCGTCGCCAATAGCCCATTGTGCAGCTCTAGTGCGACGTAAATTAAAAACAACATCCGATGACATGCCATCACAATTTTGATCCTCTGCAGTGGGGATGACACCTCCGGTTTGGCAGCCCAACGATCTGCGAGCGCAATCGAACACTCTACGGTAGAGCAGTTTAACTAGGACCGATATCGCACACCCTACTTGGGTTGATCAAAGTGGTCACTCACCCGCTTACTGACAGCAGCCAGTGATGCTTTATTTCGGTGCCCTACTCGGAAGCGTGTCTTTACGATCAGACTACTGCTGGACAAGTGAAAAGCAAGAACCCTAAAAAGCAAAAATTAAAATCTATTCTGCGAATGCTTAAAATTTTGTCTTGTATTAAATTTTTTACTCGTCAACGTTGTTGTTGTAGCTCATTAATGTCGCACTAGCGCTGCACAATGGGCTAGTGGCGACGGTTTGAGAAACATCCCTGAGGATGATCCGAAAACATGCCATCACAATTTTGATCCTCTGCAGAGGGGATGGCACCCCCGCCTCGGTAGTCCGACGACCTGCAAGCGAATTTGAGCACTTTACGGTAAAACAGTTTAACTAGGACCGATATCGCACACCCTCGGTCCCTACTTGGGTTGATCAAAGTGGTCACTCACCCGCTTACTGACAGCAGCCAGTGATGCTTTATTTCGGTGTTCTACTTGGAAGCGTGTCTTTACGATCAGTCCACTGCTGGACAAGTAAAGAGTAAGATTCCTAAAAAGCAAAAATAAAAATCTACTCTGCGAATGTATAAAAATTTTGTCTTGTATTAAATGTTTTACTCGTTAACGCAGTTGCTGTAGTTCATTAATGTCGCACTAGCGCTGCACAATGGGCTATGGGAAACATCCCTGAGGATGATCCGAAGACATGCCATTACAATTTTGATCCTCGGCAGAGGGGATGGCACCCCCGCCTCGGTGGTCTGACGACCTGCACGCGAATTTGAGCACTTTACGGTGAAACAGTTTAACGAGGACCCATACCGCATACCCTCAGTTCCTACGCAGACTAATTCAAGTGGTCACTTGACTTCGGTGATGGTCTGGGAACCGTGTCTTAACGATCAGTCCACTGCAGAACTTGTTCGTCAACGAATGTCTAACTTATTCTTCCTTAAACTACATTTCCAAACAATTTGTGTCCAAATGTGTCCTGCTATAATAAAAAAGTAAATAAAATGGAACTCACCCGGTTGACAAACACATGCCGCTGTTTCTCTTTTTAATTTTCTGTTGTTCTTTCTTTCCGAAGGGTTCCTCGCCACCTTTGAAAACAATGAATTTATAACAATGAATGTTATTTCATAAACAATGCACAAAACACGAATTATGAACGTTGTATGTATTGTTTTTTTTAAAGGTAAATCAAGAGCTATTTCAGAGATATGCAGGGGGAAAAAATTAAGAGAGTAATTTACACTCCTCTTTTAATCTTTGAGGAGTTAAAACAGAGATTGCCTACTTAAAACACAGATTACATTATAACTAAATTATTAATCACCCAAAGCAAATATTACTGATTGAATATTGACCAGAAATCATCGGTTCATCTTCAGATTAATTAAACTAAAGTTTCTGAAAAAAATATTACTTAAAAATTTTGAATTTAATATTCTATTTTTTCACTCACACTTTTATAGCATTGTACACATGTACAGCTTGTACCGAAGGAAGAAAAATCAGTGTAACAGCTGTACCCAACCACAACCGCTTCACTGTTTATGTTTGGGCAGTTATCGTGGAAGACAATTTAATCTGACCATACATTTGACCACCTCGACCGGAAACTCGCAAGTATCCCTCCTTTGATCAGGAGGTACTTCCGGAAATGCTTAACGATATTCCCGCACAATGTCGACTTGGAATGTGGTTTCAACAGGACGGGGCGCCATCTCATCAAAGAATATAGAGGGGGGGGTATTCTTTGATCTCATTAGGGAACGTGTGTTGGGGACTATTTAAACCGGACATTTGGAAACAATTGGATTTGGCGTGATGGTCCCGTTGCCTGGCCACCCAGATCACCTGACTTATCTCCTCTTAATTTTTTCTCTGGGTTACCATGAAGGACATTGTGTACTATACGCCCCTAAATGAATAATAAGCCGAGCTATGAATAATGTTGCACTATCGTAAATTAACAGTTATCATATCATTTCTATGGTGTTTACAGTACTATAATAAAATTTTCTATCTTAAACAATTGAAACTAAAAAGAAAAAAGATTTTTCAATCAAACATTTTTAGAATAAAAATTAAAGTTGATTAATGGTTTGCTTACAACGAACACATTGGCACAGTTAGTTTTAAATATTAAGATGACAGCTGACATATTTATTTTATTAAAGTTTATTAAAGTCATTAAATTATAAATAATACTTTTTTATATCGTCACTTGTCGCATTAATGACAAAATAAGTAATTTCTCTCAGAGGAAATTCTCGTTTAATTAATATTCTACAGTGATATTTGAAATCCGTCTAAATGTTCTTGAGAAAAAAAAAATAATGTCTTAAATTTTTCGCAATGAAATTTCAGCTACAAAAGCATTTTTAAAAAAAAACTTACAAAGACGTCTGTTTCTCAGAAACAACCGAACATGATTCAGTTTAAAAATGGACGCGATCTGATAGAGACCATCTACTTTGATCAGATTATCGATCTGATGCTCTGTGATCTTTGTTTGACAATAAGAGACATTATTGAACATGATCCGATGTTATTTGATTCCTCTCAAGCAATTTAAAAAGAACATTGCGACGCGCCGCATTTAGAGTTGTTCTTAGAACTTAAAATTGTTTCTAAAAACAACGTCGAGACAAGGCTGGAAACAACAACTCCAAAAATGCCCAAAAATCAAGGTACTTTATTTTATTTAAAGATAATAAATTTTCAAGGTAAACTTATTTTTAATGTATCGTTGTAAGACTTTTTAAAAAAATTCAAAATGAACAATAGGGAAAAGTTTTAAAATGTGTAGATTTTAAGCAAAACCGAACATTTAGACACTACATACTTTAAGAAGTACATATATTTAATAATTAAAATTAGAACTCTGCTGAAAGAATACACATAGGTCATACTTTTTATCCAGTCAATAAAAAATCTTATTTTTGTTAGCAATGTTTTTTTCCTAAATTCGAATTTTAATTTTCTATTTAGTATAAACATATGTATAGATTGACTGGATATATTGGTCTTTAAAATAATCAAATACTCAATTTACCTGCTGCGCTGCAAAAAAAAAAATCTTATTTTTGTTAGCAATTTTTTTTTTCTAAATTCGATTTTTAATTTTCTATTTAGTATAAACATATGTATAGATTGACTGGATATATTGGTCTTTTAAATACTCAAATACTCAATTTACCTGCTGCGCTCCAAAAAAACATTTTTATTTTTGTTAGCAATTTTTTTTTCCTAAATTCGATTTTTAATTTTCTATTTAGTATAAACATATGTATAGATTGACTGGATATATTGGTCCTTAAAATACTCAAATACTCAATTTACCTGCTGCGCTCCAAAAATTTTTTTTAATTTTTGTTAGCAATTTTTTTTTCCTAAATTCGATTTTTAATTTTCTATTTAGTATTAGATTGACTGGATATATTGGTCTTTAAAATACTCAAATACTCAATTTACCTGCTGATCTCCAAAAAACAAAAAATCTTATTTTTGTTAGCAATTTTTTTTCCTAAATTCGATTTCTAATTTTCTATTTAGTATAAACATATGTATAGATTGACTGGATATATTGGTCTTTAAAATACTCAAATACTCAATTTACCTGCTGCGCTCCAAAAAAAATCTTATTTTTGTTAGCAATTTTTTTCTTCCTAAATTCGATTTTTAATTTTCTATTTAGTATAAACATATGTATAGATTGACTGGATATATTGGTCTTTAAAATACTCAAATACTCAATTTACCTGCTGCCCTAAAAAATAAATAAAAAAATAAATAAATAAATAAAAAAAAAAGATAGAAAACACAGCTAAACTCACTCGGGCTTGCTTATTTAAAAAAAATCAGTTTTATTAATAATTTATTTGCTGCAGGAGAAATAAATAAGCAAAAGTTACGTTTCTTAAATTGCCCAGACACGTAATTTATTACAGAAAAACAGTTCACGAAAATAAAAGCTAAATTTTTAAAATTTGGTCTAATTTTAAAATTAGCATTGATTAAATCTTCCTTTTTATATGAATCAATGGACTTCTAAATTTCTAGTTTGGCTTTTAGTCATTTTCAATACTCAATAAATCTAGACACAGCTAACAAGAAAACACAACTAAAAATAAATTTCGCAATACTTAAATCAAATTTCAGTCTTTTTATCATTTTTTTTATTCAAATAAATTAGGAAATATAAATTGAAGAAAATTTCTTTCAGGGAATGAAAGTGGAACAATGAATTCAAGAAATTGCTTTATAATTCAAAATATTAAAGAATTTTAAAAATAAATGTTTACTCATTTTTATTAAAAATCTGCAAACTCGAGAAAAGAATTCGATATTTAGAACATATAAAAATTCATACGAAGGTTCTAGAAGTTACAACTTTTATTAAAATATAGATAGTTCTTTTCAGTACCTATTCTCTTCGAAATGAAAACATTAATAAACACAATTTTCACATTTGAACTGCACTTGTAAAATACCAGTGATCCTAAATTTTATTTGTATTGCTTGCTTCAATGATAAAGAATTTTATAAAATTGAAAAATAATTTTATTTTAGGTATTTCTGCAAGTATCTCAATTAAATACACATTTCAACCGGCGATTACTATGAATATGTCTCAGTATATTCATATGCAAAATTATCAAAGTCATTATTCGGTTATAAAACAATTTCTCTCGTTTCATAAAGTTTTTTTTTTAATTTACTGTCAAAGTATGCGTCATTTAATATTTGTAATTATTTCTTATTTCTAATAATTTATCATAAAAAAAAGTTTATAAAAAATTTGTTATTTATAATAATTTATAATTTTATTATTATTTATAATTTATTATAACGACTATTACACACAGTTTATTATAACAACTAGTATTTCACGTTTACTAGTATTTCACCTTAAGATTTGAGATCAACTTCTTTTGGTTACAACTAGAGCGGCCCTGGATTTTGGAGTTAACGTATCACTTTTCAAGTAAAATAATTTCTCCAAATATGCAACACAACTGAAATAGAACTACAGTGAATTCGCGATAACTCGAATCTGATGGGACTGACGAAAAACTTCCGACATATCGGAAGTTCGACTTACCGTTAGTTTCGGTTTTGGACTTTCAAAATATTGTCGGATTATTTAATTAATGCTTATTATTTGCAAATCTTCTAATTGCTTACAATATTTAAGATCATTTTTCTGACAAGCCATTTTCGATAAGACTGTTTGAAGCACTTTATGATACCCTGGTCCATCGGCTGCAACTTTTCTGTTGTGTTTGGTGGGAGAAACTGCAAGTTTACTGTTTTCACATTAAGTAGCGCTGTGCATTTATCCATAAAGAGTATCATTTTTTTTTTAGCGAAGAATTTCTGATCCAATTTTCTTATATAGTCTTCAAATAAAACTGATGTCATCCAAAACTTTTTGTTAGACTTGTAATCCAAAGGATATGTTTTTAAATTCTTGAAACATCGGGGATTTCGGTATTTTCCGATAAAAGTAAGGGCAATTTCTCTGTCCAAGACGCATTTCCTCCAACTAGGACAGTCAAACTTTCCTTGCTCATTTTACCCCCTGAGCAGTTTTCATCCTTAAACATCATAGTCTTATTTGGAAGACATTTAAAAATTAAACCCATTTCATCAATATTGAAAACATCATTTTAACTGTATCCTTGAAGTAAATTTGGTAACGTTTCATTTAACCACTGTTCACATACTTCAAGAGGGACAG